TATTATGACATTTTTAATTTTTAATTTTATTAGATTTATAGATTTTATTCCTTCATTTATTATTTTATACTGAATGTTAATTCTGTTAGTTGAAAGTAAATTATTATCAATTAATAGTCAATTAATAAAATTAACGAAATATTATAAAAGTAATTCTATTAACTTTATTAGTTGAAAGAAAATTTTTGTAAACTAATAGTCAATCAATAATTAGTTAATAGAGTTAATAGTCAATTAATAGAACTAACAAAATATTATAAAATGAAGCTTACTTTCTTTAATTTTAATAAATGAGGGGTTACAAGTATCATAATATAACATGAGAAGTTAAAACAGATAAATTTAGTAAGATGAATTAAAAATAACATAATATAAGATGAAAGGTTAAAATTTTCAAACTTGATAGAGTGAGAGGCTAAAAGTAAACTGTTAACTTAGTACAGTGATATCTAATTCCTTGTTTTGAGAATTTAGAGATTTTTATTTTGTTTTTTTTTTTTAAATATCTTAAGAACATATATTGATCTCTACCTTTCTCAAGCAACCCCTATTTAGAACCTTGGCTAAAATATCCAACTGCCATGGCTCCGTAGTATTCCTTCAACTTCGCAGCCGTCTAGCGATCATCGTCTCATCACCATCAGCTGTAGAAGAATGCTTAAGCAAGAACAACATCATTTTCGCCAGCCACCCTCGATTGATGATTGGCGAACACATGAGCAACAACTGCGAAAGCCTCATCTGGTCTCCCTACGGCCATAACTAGAGAAACCTTAGACGAATTGCGTCCATCGAAATATTATCAAATTCCCGCCTCCAAATGCTATCGAGCAGATGCATCGATGAAGTTAGATTACTAATGCATAATCTCTTAGGTATTTAAGACAAGCCCGTTAATGTAAGAACAGTGCTTTTGGAGTTAACACTCAATGTGATGATGAGGATGATAGCTCGAAAGCGATACTATGGCGAGAACGTAGCGGATGCGGAAGAGGCGAGTAGATTTCGAGCGCATCGAGCTGAGATGAGGAAGGTGATTTCCGTAACTAGTAGTGGGGATTTCTTGCCCTGGCTTAAATCCAAAAGGCTAGAACATAGGATGATTGAGTGTCAGCAAAACAGAGAGGATTTCTTCTGGAAATTGATAGATCAGAGTAGAAGAAGAATGATGGACCAACAAGACGAAGAGAGGAAGAAGACAATGGTTGAGGTATTGTTGTCACAACAAGAATCGGAACCAGAGTGTTACACCAACGATATGATTGCAAGCTTAATGCTTGTAAGATCTTTGTTTTTGTGCTTCCCATGTTTTATACTCCTAAGTACATCAAATGTTCTTGTAATAATCTAAGACTTTCTCCTTGGGTCTTTTGTCTGCAGGAACAGAAACTTCGATAAACACCATGGAATGGATACTTTCGCTTTTGCGTAACCATCCAGAAGTAATGCATAAGGCACGAAAAGAAATTGAAACCATTGTTGGTCTTGACCGCCTAATAGATGAACTTGATGTGGCTAATCTTCCTTATCTTCGTAACATCATTGGTGAATCAATGTGGATGGACCCCAAAGTTCCCCTACTGGTGCCTCATGAATCAACAAGCGAGTGCAGGGTAGGGGGCTACCGTATTCCACCGGCACGTTACTGTTCGTTAATACCTGGGCGATACAAAACGACCCGATTATTTGGGAGGAGCCGAGAAGGTTTAGGCCTGAGGGGTTTGAAGGAACAATGAAAGATGGGTTCAAATGGTTGCCATTTGGATCAGGTAGGCGAGCCTGTCCTGGCGACAACTTAGCGTTGAGGATTATTGGTTAACTCACGGGTCTTTGATTCAGTGCTTTGAATGGAAGAGGATTGGGGAGGAGATGGTGGACATGACGGAAGGTACAAGATTCACCATGAATAAGGCTCCGCCGTTGCAAGCTAAATGCCACCCATGTGCTGCCCTGGTTAAGCTCCTTAACCAAATTTGAAACTATTTGCTCCCTGTAACCTTTACCATTACTCTTGAAATACTTCCACTTCATTGTACAGTGCTGATTTGCCTTTCAGTCAATATCATTACATTTTTGTTTTATTAACTTTTATTTATGTTCAATTTCCTTGGACTTTTGTAAAATACAACAGAGTAATTGATGGGGGGAAAACAAAGGCATGTACTACAAACACACAAAAGTAAGGGCAATCTGGTTTAAGACTTCTAAGTTTGAGAGAGCAATTCCACCATGGCTTGACGCGAGCGACACCTTGCCTGCAAAGGATGGGCCTTGGTCATGGTGAGACCAGTCCCCTCCGCCATATCCACCATTTCCTCTCCAACCCTCTCCCACTCAAAGCATTGAATTAGTGACGCCAATGTCAACCCCACCACACGCGTGGCCAGCCCTTCACCCGGACATCCCCTCCTCCCCGACCCAAAGGGCATGAACTTGAATCCATCCCTATTTCCTTCCAATCCTTGGAATCTCTCCGGCTTAAATTTTTTCGGCTCCTTCCAAATCTTTGGATCACAGAGTATTGCCCATAGATTCACCAACAATGTTGTGCCGCAAGGAATTCGAAATCCTCCAACAACACAATCTTTCGACGATTCATGAGCAAATAACAATGGAGATGCTGGGTACATTCTGAGAGTCTCATTTATGACGCAATGAAGGTACGATAGCCTACTCAAATCTGATTCTTCAACCAAACAATTCTTGCCCACAACATCATCAATTTCTGCCTGAGCCTTCTTCAAAACCTCTGAATTGTTCAACAAAGGAGACACTGCCCACTCCATTGTTCCGGCTGATGTATCAGTTCCGGCTAAGAGCAAAACCTGTAAATACATGACACAGATTATCAATGACCATGATAAATTGTATTAATATTACAGCTACAATGATTTTTAGATCTTAATTTTTTACCAAGATCATGCTTTTGATGTCCTCGGCTTTGTGATGTTCCGATTCTGTTTTTTGAAGAGACAATAACGCTTCAATCGGGGTCAAGTTCTTACTCTCCTCCTCCATTTTTTTCCTACATTCATCTACCAATTCCTGCACAAATTTATCTCTTTCCTTCTGCAACTCTATTAATTTCTTTTCGTTATTGCTAATCCACCTGAATGCCGGTAAAAAATCACCCACGTTTGTTTCACCGCCGGTTCGAAATGATTCTACAACCATCTTCTTAAATGTCATAGCTTCCTCCACCTCAACCATGCTGTCACCGTAATACCTCTTCCCAGCTATTATTCTCATCATCACGTTCATTGTCACCTCGAAAAACATGGGTTTCATCTCAATTGTTTGACCCTGATTCTTGAACAGCTTCCGGAGCAGCAAATGGACCTCATCTCTGCGGATGTTGGTGAGCAACTGGAGCCGATTTGTGCAGAAATTATGGATTGAAAAGATACGCCACAGGTTTCTCCAGTGATCACCATACGGGGCCCATAGAAGGGAGGTGTAGTTGTAACCTAGGTGCTTGTTGGCGAGAATTCGGGGACGGTAAGCGAAGACGATGTCGTTTTTGCTAAGGCAATCTTCAGCGGCGGCTGGTGATGACACGACGAGGATGTGGCGAGAACCTAGGTGGAGGAAGAATATTGGGCCATAGCGATTTGAGATTTTGGACAAGCAACGATGCAGGGGTTTATTGAGGAGGTTGAGATGCCCGATTATGGGTAGAATCGGGAAGGGGTATGGCTGGAGCTGTCGGATCTTGTGGAGAAAGTGGGCGGTGATGACATAGAGAACCGTAAAAAGGAGGATGCGCAAGAACATGGTGTTTGATGGTGGAAGGCGGCCGGTTGAGCAGAGGAGGTTAGTTTCCACAAAACACAGAAAATAGCACTGTCTGAACTCTAAACACTACACAGCCAGTCGGGAGTGGTCATTGAAAAAATAGTGTTATTAGTTGAATGGACCATTTTACCCATATCTTCAACAAATCCGTCATTACCTCAGCAAAGTATATACTTTCTCCACATTGGCAACTGTTGAACCCACTGAACCTTCCAGGTATGCCAGCAGATTTGGATTTTAGGTAGTTGAGTGGGATAATCTAATACTGATTAAGTAACAAATAAATAGTTGGATTAACTAATTAACACTTAAATAATTTGGTAGTAATTTTTTTTACTAAAAATAAGAGATTTTGAGTTCGAATTACATATCATGCGAGTAGAGTGAGATAAGAGACGAGAGATAATTATCTCTCATTGTATAACAAACATCAAAAAATAAAAATTATGGATTAAATATAAAAAAATTATTTCAATTTTTGTTAAATAAATTTAAATTAAATGTAAAATTTAAACTTATTAATAAGATCTCAAGTTAATATCAAATTGCATGGAGGAGAGTGTATTAAATTATATGGTAAGATCTCACCTCCATGATAGATCTGCGTGTTAAATAAAAAAAAAATTATTTTATTAATTATTAATTAATTTTAAATTAAATTTAAACCTTATAATACACAATTTTCACATACATAGCAGTGGAAACGGGAATCTTCATGGACGGAATACCGGAGAATATGGCGGCTTCTGAGGGAAAGAAAAAAAACTAATCATTCGGTTCCTATCGTCGAGAATTCCAACGGGGTAGATCTCTACCGGTTAGCGGCGGTTTAGTTACGGCCTTACGGGGTGGGCTCTCGCCCTCATTTTTCTCAATTCCCATGTGGAGTTTCATGGAGAGATTGAGCTAAACCACCATATATGCCTGCTATTTGTGCGATTTGATCGAAGGTTTTTTAAATACTGGAGCAGAGATCATATTTGGAGTTTGCACCAAATGTTGAATTCAAGGCATCTCATTTTCTGCAAAAATTGATTTTCTCAGTCAATTGCGTATTTCAGCTCAATCTTCGATGGAAGGGTAAAATGGTCTATACAACTAAAAACCTTTTTTATTTTTGTGGCATTAACGAAGTCGTTCGTGGCAACAATAGCTCCTACGCCAAGGCATGTGGATTTTGGAATCAACGAAATAATTACGAGTACTAGACTAAAAAATTATACTGTATTTTATTCTGTATTTAATTTTTCTAATACACTGATGATTAATTGATGTGTATTTTAAGAAATAAATCTGTGTAAATAATTGTTATTTAAACTTTAAATTTAATTTATGACATTATATTTGCTTATTTGTTACTTAGATTTAACATTTTAGATTTTATTTAAATGTTTATTTAATATTATATTTGTCTAATTTTAATTGACACATTTACTTTTGTTTTTATACCCAATTTTAAATATTACTTTT